TGGCGGGAAAGTTGGGGGGAAATTAGGGGGAAATTGGGGGGAAAATGGGGGAAAATGGGGTGAAAATGGGGGAAGAATTGGGGGGAAATTTGAGGGAAATAACAGAAAAATTGGGGGGAATTGGGGGAAAATTGGGGAAATTGGGAGGAAAACTGGAGGACAATGAGGGGAAAATGAGGGGAAAATTGGGGAATCAGGGAGGGAAATTTGGGGGCTCAGAGAGGGGAATTTGGGGGCTCAGGAAGGGAAACTTTTGGGATCAAAGAGGGGGATTTTGGGGCTCAGGGAGAAAAATTTGGGGGATCAAAGAAGGGGATTTGGGGACTCATGGAGGGGAAATTTGGGGGATCAAAGAGAGGAATTTGGGGGCTCAGAGAGGGAAATTTGGGGGCCTAGGGAGGGAAATTTTTGGGATCAGGGGAAGGGGATTTGGGGGCTCAGAGAGGAGAATTTGGGGGATCAAAGGGAGGAATTTGGGGGGTCAGAGGGGGAAATTTGGGGGCCTAGGGAGGGAAATTTTTGGGATCAGGGGAAGGGGATTTGGGGGCTCAGAGAGGGGAATTTGGGGGCTCAAACAGGCAAATTTGGGGGATGAAAGAGAGGAATTTGAGGGCTCAGGGAAGGAAATTTGGGGGCTCAGAGAGGGGAATTTGGGGGCTCAGAGAGGGGAATTTGAGAACTCAGGGAGGGAAATTTGGGGGGTCAGAGAGGGGAATTTGGGGGATCAAAGAGGGGGATTTGGGGGCTCAGGGGCACCTCTGGATGGTCTCCTCCTGCTCCTTGACCATGTGTGCCAGCTGCTGGAAGATGGAGCCCAGCTCCACGATGGTGGACTCGATGTTCTGCATGGTGTCAGCCCGGCTCTGGATGTACGAGTCCTGGGGGCAGCCCCCGGCTGTGGGGCTGCCCCAAAACCCCAAAATCCCTTTTTTTGGGGGGTTTTGGGGGGGGTTGGGGTGCAAACCTGCTCATCCAGCAGCTGCAGCTGCTGGCTGGTCCTGCTGTCCATCTCGATGGCCACGGCGCCCGGGCGCGGCGGCTCGGCCTGGAGCACGGCGGGGCTGGCTGCAGCAAAACCCCAAATTCACACCTGAACCCACCCCAAAATCCCCTAAAATCCCAAATTCACACCTGAACTCACACCTGAACTCACACCTGAACCCACCCAAAATCACAAATCAACACCTGAACTCACACCTGAATCCACCCAAAATCCCCTAAAATCCCAAATTCACACCTGAACCCACCCCAAAATCCCAAATTCACACCCGGGCGCGGCGGCTCCGCCTGGAGCACGGAAATTTGGGGGCTCAGAGAGGGACCCCAAATTCACACCTGAACCCACCCCAAAATCCCAAATTCACACCCAGGCGCTGGGGCTCGGCCTGGAGCACGGCGGGGCTGGCTGGGGAGGCAAAACCCCAAATTCACACCTGAACCCACCCCAAAATCCCCTAAAATCCCAAATTCACACCCGGGCGCAGCGGCTCAGCCTGGAGCACGGCGGGGCTGGCTGGGGAGGCAAAACCCCAAATTCACACCTGAACCCACCCCAAAATCCCAAATTCACCCCTGAACCCACCCCAAAATCCCCTAAAATCCCAAATTCACACCTGACCCCACCCCAAAATCCCAAATTCACACCCGGGCGTGGCGGCTCGGCCTGGAGCACAGCGGGGCTGGCTGCAGCAAAACCCCAAATTCACACCTGAACCCACCCCAAAATCCCAAATTCACACCCGGGCGTGGCGGCTCGGCCTGGAGCACGGCGGGGCTGGCTGGGGGGAGGGCCAAAATTCACACCTGAACCCACCCCAAAATCCCCTAAAATCCCAAATTCACACCTGAACTCACACCTGAACTCACACCTGAACCCACCCAAAATCCCCCAAAATCCCAAATCAACACCTGAACTCACACCTGAGTTCTACCAAAATTCAAAATTCCCACCTGAATTTCCCCAAAATCCCCCAAAATTCCAAATTCCCCATTCCCAGTTGAATATCCCAAATTCACGCCCGGGCGCGGCGGCTCGGCTTGGAGCACGGCGGGGCTGGCTGGGGAGGCAAAACCCCAAATTCACACCTGAATTCACACCTGAACCCACCCAAAATCCCCTAAAATCCCAAATTCACACCTGAACTCACACCTGAACTCACACCTGAACCCACCCAAAATCCCCCAAAATCCCAAATCAACACCTGAACTCACACCTGAGTTCTACCAAAATTCAAAATTCCCACCTGAATTTCCCCAAAATCCCCCAAAATTCCAAATTCCCCATTCCCAGTTGAATTTCCATCTGAATTCCCCCCAAAATTCCCTTTTCCCACCTGGAATTTCCCAAAATTCCCCCCAAAATTCCCTTTTCCCACCTGGAATTTCCCAAAATTCACTCAAAATTCCCTTTTTTTCTCCCAGAATTCCCCCCAAATCCCCTTTTCCCCCCCAGAATTCCCCAAAATCCCCTTTTCCCCCCAAATCCCCATTTCTCCCCAGCTCACTGAGGTTGTTGGCAGCCAGGGCAGACACCGGGGCCCGGGAGAAATGTTCCCGCCGGCTGCGCTGCTGCTTCAGGTTCTGGGGGAAAAAAGGGGAAAAATGGGGAGAAAAAAGAGGCAAAACTTGGGGGAATGGGGGAAAAAATAGGAGGAAAAATGAGAAGAAATAGAGGAAAAAATGGGGGGGAGAAAAGGGAAAAAAAGGGGGAAAACGTGGAGTGGAAAATTGGAGAAGAAAGGGGAAAAATGGGAGAAAAATGGGGGAGAAAAGGGAAAATGGGGAAAAAATAGGGAAAAAAAAGGGAAAAATAGGGGGAATGGGGGGAAAATAGGGGGAAAATTGGGGAGGAATAGGGGAAAAAAATGGGGGGAGAAAGAGGAAAGAAAGGGGGGGAATGTGAGAACAGGAGGAAAAAATGGGGGGGAAGGGGAAAATGGAGAAAAAAAGGGGAAAATGAGGCAAAAATGGGGAGGAAAAAGGGGGGAAATAGGGAAGAATGGGGGGGAAATAAAGAGAAGATTGGGGAGCAACAGGAGAAAAAATGGGGGGGAGAAAGAGAAAGCAAGAAGGGAAACGTGAGAAGAGGAAGGAAAAATGGGGGAAAAAATTGGAGCAGAAAGAGAAAAAATGGGGGAGGAAAGGGCAAATGGGGGAAAAAAAAATGTGGAATAAGGAGGAAAACAAAATTGGTGAAAGAAGAGAAAATTGACTGAGAGAAGCAGCAGGAAAGTAGAAAAAGAAAAGGGGGGAAGAGGCAAAAGAAGAAAAAAGGAGAAGGAAGGAAGGAAACAAGAAAAACGTAGTGAGAAGAGTGAGAGCAAAAGACACAGAAGGGCAGAGGGAAAAGGTAAAAATGGCAGAAAAAGTGGGAGAATGAGGAGAAAAAAAGAAGAAAATCAGGAAAAAAGGAAAGAAAAAAAGGAGAAGGAGCCCCAGCGCTCACCTCGGTGCGCACCTCCAGCACGGATTTGAAGTCGTTGGACATCGAGGCCAGCTTGGACTGGGGGGGCAGGGGGGGTCAGGCGGGCTGGGCGGGGGTCCCAACGCCCCCCCGATTCCCCATTCCCAGTTGAATTTCCATCTGAATTCCCCCCAAAATTCCCTTTTCCCACCTGGAATTTCCCAAAATTCCCCCCAAAATTCCCTTTTCCCACCTGGAATTTCCCAAAATTCACTCAAAATTCCCTTTTCCCACCTGGAATTTCCCAAAATTCACTCAAAATTCCCTTTTCCCACCTGGAATTTCCCAAAATTCACTCAAAATTCCCTTTTTTTCTCCCAGAATTCCCCCCAAATCCCCTTTTCCCCCCCAGAATTCCCCAAAATCCCCTTTTCCCCCCCCCAAAATCCCCTTTTTCTCTCCTGGAATTCCCCCAAATCCCCTTTTCCCCCCCAAATCCCCATTTCTCCCCAGCTCACTGAGGTTGTTGGCAGCCAGGGCAGACACCGGGGCCCGGGAGAAATGTTCCCGCCGGCTGCGCTGCTGCTTCAGGTTCTGGGGGAAAAAAGGGGAAAAATGGGGAGAAAAAAGAGGCAAAACTTGGGGGAATGGGGGAAAAAATAGGAGGAAAAATGAGAATAAATAGAGGAAAAAATGGGGGGGAGAAAAGGGAAAAAAAGGGGGAAAACGTGGAGTGGAAAATTGGAGAAGAAAGGGGAAAAATGGGAGAAAAATGGGGGAGAAAAGGGAAAATGGGGAAAAAATAGGGAAAAAAAAGGGAAAAATAGGGGGAATGGGGGGAAAATAGGGGGAAAATTGGGGAGGAATAGGGGAAAAAAATGGGGGGAGAAAGAGGAAAGAAAGGGGGGGAATGTGAGAACAGGAGGAAAAAATGGGGGGGAAGGGGAAAATGGAGAAAAAAAGGGGAAAATGAGGCAAAAATGGGGAGGAAAAAGGGGGGAAATAGGGAAGAATGGGGGGGAAATAAAGAGAAGATTGGGGAGCAACAGGAGAAAAAATGGGGGGGAGAAAGAGAAAGCAAGAAGGGAAACGTGAGAAGAGGAAGGAAAAATGGGGGAAAAAATTGGAGCAGAAAGAGAAAAAATGGGGGAGGAAAGGGCAAATGGGGGAAAAAAAAATGTGGAATAAGGAGGAAAACAAAATTGGTGAAAGAAGAGAAAATTGACTGAGAGAAGCAGCAGGAAAGTAGAAAAAGAAAAGGGGGGAAGAGGCAAAAGAAGAAAAAAGGAGAAGGAAGGAAGGAAACAAGAAAAACGTAGTGAGAAGAGTGAGAGCAAAAGACACAGAAGGGCAGAGGGAAAAGGTAAAAATGGCAGAAAAAGTGGGAGAATGAGGAGAAAAAAAGAAGAAAATCAGGAAAAAAGGAAAGAGAAAAAGGAGAAGGAGCCCCAGCGCTCACCTCGGTGCGCACCTCCAGCACGGATTTGAAGTCGTTGGACATCGAGGCCAGCTTGGACTGGGGGGGCAGGGGGGGTCAGGCGGGCTGGGCGGGGGTCCCAACACCCCCCCGAGCCCCCCGAGCCCCCGTCCCACCTGCAGGGACACCACGACGCTGTCGGAGTGGCTGTGCAGGTGCAGGTGGCGGCCGGGCGGGGCCGCGCGGGGCAGGCGCCGCAGCTGCGCTCCCTTCCGCCGGGACCGGAAGGGGACGGCGAGGACTTCCGGGAGGGAATGGAGGGAGGCCGCGCCTCCGTGTGGGTGAGGCCACGCCCATGGCGACAGGCCCCGCCCATGGCAACGCGGGAAAATGAATGGATTGGCGGGAAAGGAGCGGCCACGCCCCCAGGGAGGGGTTTGGGAAGGAGGCCACGCCCCCAATGAGGGTTTAGTAAGGAGGTCACGCCCCTGGGAGGGGTTTGGGAAGGAGACCACGCCCCTGGGAGGGGTTTGGGATGGAGGCCACGCCCCCAAAGCCGGAGCGGGAATGGAGGCTCCGAGCCCGTAACCGGGAACCCCGGAACGGCGGGGCCACGCCCCCGGCAGTAAGCCACGCCCACAGTGTAGGTCCCGCCCATGTCAACAAACCCCGCCCACAGCGTTTGGGCCCACCCAGGGCAACAAGTCCCGCCCACACCGCCGGTCACGCCCCCGAACAGGCCCCGCCCACAGCATGTGGCCCACATGGCTGGCCCCGCCCCATCAACCTTCCGATCTGGCCCCGAGCGCAGCCCCCGCGGGGCCGGGCCCGGGCGGGCGGCGGAGCGCAGCACGGAGCGGGCGATGAGGGCGGCGGGCGGCATCATGGCGGCGGCGCGCTGAGCGACGTCACTTCCGGCGCGACAATTTAAACCCTCCCCATGCTGTAACCACGCCCCCCTCATTAACATAATTTATTATGATGTGTACAGCACGCTGCTCATTAGCATGGCCACGCCCCAACAGCACGCCAGCCGCAATTAAACCTTGCTCGTTATTTATTTATCCCGTACAAAGAAAACGGCTGGAAAAAAAAACACCCAAAAAATTCAAAATAAAATTTAAAAAAAAAAAACAACAAAAAATTCAAAATGAACGGAAAGCAGCCAGGAGGGCGGCGGGGCTCAGCGGCAGCAGGCGGCGCACGGGCTGCCCCCCGGCTGCGGCTCCCCGAAGCGCGTGCAGCGGCTCAGGATCTCGTAGGTGCAGCCGGGCCCGGAGCCGCAGCAGCCGCTGCCCGGGGAGGAGGCGTCGACCTCGAACCTGCACGGACAGAGGGGACAGGGACAGGGGACAGGGGGACAGGGGAGAGGGGAGAGGGACAGGGAGAGGGACACAGGGGTGACAGGGATGGGACAGGGACAGGGGACAGGGACCGGGGACAGGATTTGGGAGAGGGGACAGGGACACAGACAGGGGACAGAGGGGACAGGATTGGGGACAGGGACAGAGGGGACAGGGATAGGGAGAGGGGAATGGGGACACAGGGGGGACAGGGGGACAGGGACAGGGGACACGGGGACAGGGACAGGGATGGGGAGAGGGATAGGGAGAGGGACACAGGGGTGACAGGGATGGGACAGGGACAGGGGACAGGGACCGGGGACAAGATTTGGGAGAGGGGACAGGGACACAGACAGGGGACAGAGGGGACAGGATTGGGGACAGGGACAGAGGGGACAGGGATAGGGAGAGGGGAATGGGGACACAGGGGGGACAGGGGGACAGGGATGGGGACAGGACAGGAGAGAGGGATAGGGGATGGGGACAGGGACAAGGACAGGGGACAGGGACAGGGAGAGGAGGCTTGAGCACACAGTGACACCCTGACACCCTTCCCTGTGTCCCCAGTGTCCCCACAGTGTCCCAAGTCCCCTGTTCCCTCAGTGTCCCTGTCCCTGTTCCCAGTGTCCCCGCTGTCTCCCCCCTGTCCCCAGTATCCCGTCCCCCATGTCTCCTCACTGTCCCCACTGTTCCCTGTCCCTCACGGTCCCCCCAGTGTCCCCAGTGTCCCTGTTGTCCCTGTTCCCCCCAGTGTTCCTGTCCCCAGTATCCCCAGCGTCCCCTGTCCCTGTCCCTGTCCCCAGTGTCCCCGCTGTCCCCCGTGTCCCTGCACTCACTGCAGCGCGTCCCTGTCCCCGGTGTCCCCTGTCCCCTGTCCCCCTCAGTGTCCCAGTGTCCCCCCACTGTCCCCTGTCCCTGTCCCCAGTGTCCCAGAGTCCCCTGTCCCCAGTGTCCCCAGTGTCCCCGTTGTCCCTGTTCCCCCCAGTGTTCCTGTCCCCAGTGTCCCCAGCGTCCCCTGTCCCTGCCCCTGTCTCTGTCCCCAGTGTCCCCGTTGTCCCTGTTCCCCCCAGTGTTCCTGTCCCCAGTGTCCCCAGCGTCCCCTGTCCCTGCCCCTGTCTCTGTCCCCAGTGTCCCCTCGGTGTCCCCAGTGTCCCCCCTGTCCCCGTCCCCGCACTCACTGCAGCGCGTCCCTGAAGAACTGCAGCGCGCCGCGGTTGTGCTTGAACAAGGTGAGCATCACCTTCTTCATCTGCGTGCTGCACCCCAAAACAGGCTGGGTCACCCCAAAAATGGGCTGGGACACCCCAAAACGGGCTGGGTTACCCCAAAAACTGCCCCACCCCAAACCCAGCTGGGCCAGGTGAGCATCACCTTCTTCATCTGCGTGCTGCACCCAAAAACGGGCTGGGTTACCCCAAAAGTGTCCCAATGTCACCCCAAAACGGGCTGGGTCACCCCAAAACTGCCCCACCCCAAAACCCGGCTGGGCCAGGTGAACATCACCTTCTTCATCTGCGTGCTGCACCCAAAAACGGGCTGGGTTACCCCAAAAGTGTCCCAATGTCACCCCAAAACAGGCTGGGACACCCCAAAACTGCCCCAATGTCACCCCAAAACTGCCCCACCCCAAACCCGGGTGGGACACCCTGAAAATGGGCTGGGTTACCCCAAAAACGGGCTGGGTTACCCCAAAACTGCCCCAATGTCACCCCAAAAAACAGGCTGGGACACCCCAAAAACTGCCCCGGGGACACCCCAAAACCCGGCTCGGGACACCCCAAACACTGCCCCAATTTCACCCCAAAACCTGCTCCAATTTCATCCCAAAGCTGCCCCAGTTCACCCCAAACCAGACCCAAACTGCCCCAATTTCCCCCCAAAATCCCCAGTTTCCCCCCAAAACCCCCAAAATCCCCAATTTCCCCCCAAAACCCCCCAAATCCCCAATTTCCCCCCAATTTCCCCCGTTCCCTCACCTGTTGGCCACCAGAAAAAGGGTTGGGAGGGGGAAAAACGGGTTTGAGGGGAAAAAATGGGGGTTTGGGGGGGAAAAATGGGGATTAGGGGGAAAAAAAGGGGATTTGGGGGAGGGGAAGTGGGGGTTTGAGGGGAAAAAATGGGGGTTTGAGGCAAAAGAACAGGTTGGGAGAGGAAAAAACGGGGTTGGGAGGGGGAAAAAGGGGGTTTGGGGTGGAAAAACTCAGGGATTTCAGGAAGATCACAGCAAGGAGCAAGGTGGGAAATGAAAATCCCGGAAAGCAGGAAAAGCAGCAGGGAAAACCAGCCCCGGAGGTTTGGGTGGCAAAGGCCAACCCCAGGAAAGGCCGGGGGCACTCACAGGCTCTGCATGTTGGCCTTGGTCAGCTCAAAGGCCCAGTCCAGCGTGGACGGCTCCAGCCCCGACACACGGCGGCACTCGATGGACACGTTCAGCCTGGGGGACACGGGGTGACATGGGGTGACACGGGGACATGGGACACCAGGCAGGGACACGGCGGCACTCGATGGACACGTTCAGCCTGGGGGACACGGGACACGGGGTGACATGGGAACACGGGGTGACATGGGAATGGGGGGTGGCATCGAAAATAATGGGGGGTTGGCACCCAAATAATGGGGGGTGGCACCGGAATAATGGGGGGGTGGTATCGAAAATAATGGGGGGTGGCACTGAAAGTAATGGGGATGGCACCGAAAATAATGGGGGGGTGGTATCAAAATAACAGGGAATGGCATCGAAATAATGGGGATGGCACCAAAATAATGGGGGATGGCACCAAAATAATGGGGGGTGGCATCGAAAATAAGGGGGGGTGGTATCGAAAATAATGGGGGGTGGCACTGAAATAATGGGGGGTGGTATCAAAATAATGGGGATTGGCACCCAAATAATGGGGATGGCACCGAAAATAAGGGGGGTGGCATCGAAATAACAGGGGGGGGCACTGGGATAACAGGGGTGGGACCGGGGTAATGGGGAATGGCACCAAAATAACGGGGACTGGCACCAAAAGGTCGGGAATTGGCACCAGAACACCAGGAATGGGCACCAAAAGGCCCGGAATTGGCACCAAAAGGTCAGGGTTTGGAACCTAAAGGTCGGGGATTGGCACCAAAACGCTGGGATTGGCACCAAAATGCCAGGGATTGGCACCAAAAGCCAGCCCTTCCCAGCTCTGCCCGCCCACAATGCCACAAGTGCTGCCCCAATCTCATTAAGGATCAATAAATGTCATCGGTGTGGAGCTGCACGTGAGGAGTGTCCCTAAATCTTGGAAAAAAGGGGTTTTAGGGAGAAAATCAGTGCTGAGTTTTTAGTATTCCTGTTGCTGCAGTTTTTGAGGGGGTTTTGCCCCAAAATCTTGGGGGTTTAGGTGGCACGAGGAGGTGACACAAGCACAAAGTTGATCCTTTGGAGGGGTTTTCCCCAAATCTGGCACCAAAAACGGGGGTGATTTCACCCAAAATGAAGGGTCCTGCTGGGATCCCTCCCAGTCTCCGAAGAGGGACTGGGATCCCTGAGCTTCAGCACCACCAAAATCGAGAGAAGTGCACCCAAAAGCAAAGATCTGACAGGAAAAGCAGCAGGACAGGGACAGGATAAATGTCCCTAAAACCACATCTGTCAGCGGGTTTGGGGGAAATTCAGGCGTTTTGGGGCTTGGAGCAGCCACCACCTGCTGCTGGCTGGGATGTGGATGCTCAAATCTCCACTTTAGGGTCATTTTGGGGATAAAACACGGGAATTTTCCAGCAGGGTTGGATGGGACATGGTGCGAGGGGAAGCACAGCCCCAAATCCAACTTAGAGACCCCCAAATTCCCCCTTAAATCCCCTCTAGTCCTGACCACCCCGCTCTGCACAGCCCCAAATCGTCTTTAACGGCTCCAAATCCACTCAGAAAATCCCACACTTCGCCGTGGGAACCTCAAACCCTCACGGAAGGTTCCAAAACCCTCACAGAAGGTTTTAGAGAGGCTCAGAAAGTCCCAATTTCCTCATAGCAGCATCCAGACCCCTCGCAGAGTCACAAGCATCCTCCAAAGAGCCCCGAATGACCTCAAACAACCCCAAAACCTCACGGAAAGTCCCAAATCTCCACACAGGAGCCTCCAATCCCCAAATCCCCTCATGGCAGCCCTGGTACCACCTCAGAGAGTCTCCCCATCCTCCGAGACGGTCCCAAATGCCGCCACAGAACCCCCGTAGGGCCTCGCGGTGACCTCCCACCCTCTCAGGCGACCCCAAATTCCCTCGCAGAACTCCCGCGTCCCCTCGCGGCGACCCTCCACCCGCTCAGCGGCGCCTCGCAGGCCCCACCCCTGCTCTCTTCCCCCTCAGGCCGAGCCCCCCCGGGCCCGGCGCGGCCCCGCTCACCCCCATAATGGCGGCGGCGGCGGCTCCTCACGGCGCGGGGGGCGCGGAGGGTCTGAGGGGGCGCGCGCGGGGGGCGCGCTATTTATAAGGGGGGGGGAAAGGGGGCGGAGCGCCAAGCGCGCGAGCCCGCGGCCGGCGGCCAATGCGCCGGCGCGGAGGGGAAAGGGGCGGGGCGACGGGGGCGGGGACGCGGGCGGGGCCTCCGCGCGTGCGCGAGAGTGGAGCGGGAAGGGCGGGGGGAGCGGGCGCGTGGCGGCGGCGAGGGGCGCGAAGGCGGCTCGGCGCTGATTGGCTGAGAGCGGAAAGGGCGGGAGAGCGGGAGGCCACGCCCCGCGCGCTGAGGGGAGCGCGGCCGCCATTGTGGGAGCGCGGGGCGCGGGGAGCTCGGTGCGGCCTCGAACCGGTACCAGAGAGCCCGGTATGGTCCTAAAACCGCCCCACAGACCCGGTACAGTCCTAAACCGGCACCAGAGAGCCCGGTATGGTCCTAAAACCGCCCCACAGACCCGGTACGGCCCCACAGAGCCCGGTATGGTCCTAAAACCGCCCCACAGAGCCGGTACGGCCCCACAGAGCCCAGTATGGCCCTAAAACCGCCCCACAGACCCGGTACGGCCCCACAGAACTTGATATGGCCCTAAAACCGCCCCACAGAGCTCGGTATGGTCCTAAAACCGCCCCACAGACCCAGTACGGCCCCACAGAGCTCGGTACGGCCTCAAACCGGCACCAGAGACCCGGTACAGCCCTAAACCCGCCCCACAGACCCGGTACAGCCCTAAACCCACCCCACAGACCCGGTACAACCCCACAGAGCTCGGTGCGGCCTCAAACCGGCACCAGAGACTCGGTATGGCCCCAAACCAGCCCCACAGACCTGGTACGGCCCCACAGAGCCCGGTATGGCCCTAAACCGGCACCAGAGAGCCCGATATGATCCTAAAGTGGCCCCTTAGACCTGGTAGGGCCCTGAACCAGCACCAGAGAGCCTGGTATGGCCCTAAACCTTCCCCACAGACCCAATATGGCCCCACAGCCCCCAGTATGGACTGACAGACTCCAGTTTGTCCCACAACCCTGCCCCAAAGCCCTCAGCCCACCCCACAGCCCTGCCCCATAAGCCAGCCCTACAGCCTGGCCCCATGGTTCTTGGGCTGCCCCATATCTTGGCCCCGTGGCCCTGAGAGGCCTCAGCCCACCCTATAACCCTGCCCCACAGCCCTCAGCCCACCCCATAACCCTGCCCCACAGCCCCATAACCCGGCCCCACAGCCCACCCCACAGCCCTGATCCAGCCCCACAGCCCTCCCCATAACCCTGTCCCACAGCCCTCAGCCCACCCCATAACTGTGCCCCACAGCCCACCCCACAGCTCTGCTCCAGCCCCAACCCTCCCGCAATGGGGTCGCCCCACAGGACCCAGAGCACCCCCAGAGGGAAAGGGGGCGGTGGGGGGGATGTGGGGCAGCCCCACAGAGTGCGATGGAGGGGGGGATCCCCATGGGCCCCCCAGCCCCACACGGGGACAGACCCCAGACCCACACGGGGACAAACCCCAGCCCCACACGGGGACAGACCCCCAGACCCATGGAGGGACAGACCCCAGCCCCACACGGGGACAAAACCCAGCCCCACACGGGGACAGACCCCAGACCCACACGGGGACAAACCCCAGCCCCACACGGGGACAGACCCCCAGACCCATGGAGGGACAGACCCCAGACTCACAGAGGGACAGACCCCACACTGGGACAGACCCCAGACCCCCCACAGGGACAGACCCCAGCCCCCTGACCCCCCCCCTCTCCCTGCCCCCCCAGTGGACAGGTACATCGCCATGGCCAAGGACAAGCACGGCTACAACATCGAGCAGGTACCGAGTGCCCCTCCCCACAAAACCCCCAGATTTCCCCCTGACGCCCCCCGGGGTGCCCTGCTGACCTCCGGGGGTGCCCCTGAACGCCCCCCGTGCCCCCTCCCCAGGCCCTGGGCATGCTGCTGTGGCACAAGCACGACGTGGAGAAGTCCCTGGCCGACCTGGCCAACTTCACGCCCTTCCCGGACGAGTGGACGGTGGAGGACAAGGTTCTGTTCGAGCAGGCCTTCAGCTTCCACGGCAAGAGCTTCGCCCGCATCCAGCAGATGGTGAGACCCCCAAACCCGCCCCCAAACCCCCCCGGGACCAGCCCCCCACCCTCAGAGGGACAGCTCCGGGGGTCGGCCCCTCCTCCCTCAGGGTGGGTGGATCCAGCCCCAGCCAGCGGCTTTTTGGGGCTTTTTGGGACTTTTGGGGGCTTTTGGAAGGTGTTGTTGCTCTCCTGAGACCCCCAGGGAGATTTGGGGGTCTGGGGGGGGTCTCGGGACCCTCTTGGGAATGAGGGGGTGCCACCCCTTACCCCCCACAGGAGATGGTACATCCCACCCTCTGCTGTCCCCCCCCACCACCAAGTGGTACCTCCCCCCCATTTCTGGGGGTTCCCCCTGATTTTGGGGGTGCTGAGCCCCTGATTTTGGGGGTCCTGAGCCCCCCTTTAGGGTTTCTCTGCCCTTTCCCCCTTCCTGTTTCATGGGGTTCCTGCTCCTCCATTTTTAGGGGTTTCCCCTTTTTTTTGTGGGGGATCTCAGGGGTCTCCCTGCCCCTTCTCCCCCCATTTATTGGGGTGACCCCTCCCTTCACCTCTAACCCATTCCTGAGCCCGAATCCCCCCACACCTGCCCCCCACGCCCCCGTGTGCCCCCAGCTCCCGGACAAGCTGATCCCCAGCCTGGTGAAGTATTACTACTCCTGGAAGAAGACGCGGAGCCGCACGAGCGTCATGGACCGGCAGGCGCGGCGCCTGCTGGGCCGGCGCGACCGCGACGACAGGTGGGGCACGGACCCCCGGGACCCCCAAACACACCCCAAAACATCCCCCAACCTGCCAGGGACCCCCAAACCGGCCCCAAAAACATCCCCAGACCTGCCAGGGACCCCCAAAACACACCTGAAACACACCTGAAACATCCCCAGACCCGCCCGAGACCCCCAAAACACACCTGAAACGTCCCTGAAACATCCCTGAAACATCCCCAGCCCCGCCAGGGACCCCCAAAACACACCTGAAACACACCTGAAACATCCCCAGACCCGCCCGAGACCCCCAAAACACACCTGAAACGTCCCTGAAACATCCCTGAAACATCCCCAGCCCCGCCAGGGACCCCCAAAACACACCTGAAACACACCTGAAACATCCCCAGACCCGCCCGAGACCCCCAAAACACACCTGAAACGTCCCTGAAACATCCCTGAAACATCCCCAGACCCGCCAGGGACCCCCAAAACACCCTGAAACCCACCCTGAAACCCGCCCTGGGCCCCCAAATCCACTCTGAAACCCACCATGGACCCCCAAACACCCCTGAAACATCCCCAGACCCACCCGGGACCCCCAAAGGGGCTCAGGGGGAGTTTGGGGGGGCTCGTGGCGGTCACAAGGTGAAATTTGGGGGGTGGGTTTCAAGGGTGGGGTGATCAGGAAAGGGAGGAAAGGAGAACAAGGGGGGAAAAGGGGGAACCCCAAAGTACGGGGCCAGAACCCCAAAAATGGGGGTGAATCCCTAAAGATGATGGAGGAGCTGGGGAGGGGGATCTAAAGATGGTGTGGGACCCTAAACTTGGGGGAATCTTTGGGAATGGTGGAAAAACCTGAAAACAACTAGGGGGAGCTGGGGGAGGGGCGGGAGACCCCAAAAATTGGGGAAAAACCCCAGAAAAGGGGCAGGGGTGGCGCCCCCTGCTGGGGGGGCCGCGGCCGGGGCGGAACGTACCATTCTCCAATGGGGGGGGGGAGTGCGTTTCCCCAGCCCGTAACCAACTCAATCAACCGAACCAATTAACGCCCGGCCCTAATTAACGCACGGGGCCGGCTCCAGGCGTGCTTCCCCAAGGCGGGGCCGCGCAAGGAGCCGCAGTACCGGCACCACGCCCCGGCGCGGCAGCGGCGCCGCCCCCCCCGCGGGATGCGCCTGAGCCGCGAGGACGTGGCCGAGGTGACGGCCAACCCCGACCTGGGCGCGCGCGCCCTGCGCCAGCTCGACTGCCAGCTGGTGGCCCTGAAGCGGCAGGTGAGACCCCCGGGCACCCCCGGGACACCCCCCGGGCACCCCCCGGGCACCCCCGGGTACCCCCGGGCACCCCCGGGCACCCCCCGGGACACCCCCGGGCTGAGGGGTCGCCCCCCTGAGCCCCCTCCCCGCCCGCCGCAGGTGCAGCGCATCAAGCAGATCAACAGCGGCCTCAGGCAGGCGCTGGACGGGGGCCTGGAGGGGCTGCGGCCGCCTGAGGTGGGTGCTGTGTGCCCACGGTGTCCCCATGTCTCCAGGGTGTCCCCAGGCTGTCCTTGTGTCCTAAGGGTGTCCCCATGGTGTCTCCAGGATGTCCCCAAGGTGCCTTTAGGGTGTGCTCATGTCCCCACAGCGTCCCCACGGTGTCCCCAGGCTGTCCTGGTGTCCTAAGGGTGTCCCCATGGTGTCTCCAGGATGTCCCCAAGGTGCCTTTAGGGTGTGCTCATGTCCCCACAGCGTCCCCACGGTGTCCCTGTGTGCCCCACAGTGTCCCCAGGGCGTCCCCGTGGTATCCCCATGTCCCCACGGTGTCCCCAGGCTGTCCCCCGGGTGTCCTCATGTCCCCACAGTGTCCCTGTGTGCCCCACAGTGTCCCCAGAGCGTCCCCGTGGTATCCCGATGTCCCCACGGTGTCCCCAGGCTGTCCCCCGGGTGTCCTCATGTCCCCACAGTGTCCCTGTGTGCCCCACAGTGTCCCCAGAGCGTCCCCGTGGTATCCCGATGTCCCCACGGTGTCCCCAGGCTGTCCCCCGGGTGTCCTCATGTCCCCACAGTGTCCCTGTGTGCCCCACAGTGTCCCCATGGTGTCCCCATGGTGTCCCCAGGCTGTCCCCATGTGCCCCATGGTGTCCCCAGGGTGTCCTCATGTCCCCATGGCATCTCCAGGGTGTCCCCACAGTGTCCCCACGGTGTCCCCAGTCTGTCCCTAGGGTGTCCTCATGTCCCCACAGTGTCCCTGTGTGCCCCACAGTGTCCCCATGGTGTCCCCATGGTGTCCCCAGGCTGTCCCCATGATGTCTCCAGGGTCTCCCCACGGTGTCCCCATGTCCCCGTGGTGTCCCCGTGGTGTCCCCAGGCTGTCCCCAGGGTCTCCCCACAGTGTCCCCACGGTGTCCCCATGTCCCCAGGCTGTCCCCAGGGTGTCCCCATGTCCCCAGGCTGTTCCTGTGTCCCCGTGGTGTCCCTGTGTGCCCCAGGGTGTCCCTAGGCTGTCCCCAGGGTGTCCCCAAGGTGTCCCAGCCGCTCCCAGTGGTGCCCCCCCAGCCCCCCAATCCCCTCCGCTCCCCCCAGGCCAGCAGCAAGTTCAGCTCCCGCTGGACAACGGACGAGCAGCTGCTGGTGGTGCAGGGTGAGTGCTGCCCTCATTAGCCCAATTAGCCGGTTAATTGCCGCGTCCCTCCCTGACTGTCCCGCTGTGCTGTCCCCGCTGCGGCAGCCCTGCGCCGCTACGGCCGCGATTTCCCGGCGGTGGCGGCCGTGCTGGGCAACAAGACGGCGGCGCAGGTGCGGAGCTTCGTGCTGGGCCCCCGGCGCCGCCCGGGGCTGCAGCGGCTCCTGCAGGAGCCCCCCGAGCGCCCCCGGGCCCCGGAGCAGCAGCAGCAGGAGGAGGAGGAGGAGGAGGTGAGGAAGGGCGGGTGGGNNGGTGGGGAGGGGCGGGGCTGGGGGCGGGGCTGGTTACTGGGCCCAGTTCCAGGCTGGGGGTTGGACTGGTGTCAGTTCTGAGCCTGGACTGGGGCTGGATCCACACAGTGCCCCACCCCAATCAATCAATCAATCAATCAATCAATCAATCACACCCCAATCCATCCATCAATCACACCCCAATCCTTCAATCAATCAATCAATCATATTCCAATCCATCAGTCAATAACACCCCAATCAATCAATCAATCAATAACACCCCAATCCATCAATTAATCAATCAGTCAATAACACCCCAATCCATCCATCAATCACACCCCAATCAATTAAACCCCAATCAATAAGTCAATCAATCACTAACACCCCAATCAATCAGTCAATAACACCCCAATCCTTCAATCAATCAATCAATAACTTCCCAATCCAACAATCAATCCCCAATCAATCAATCAACCACACCCCAATCCATCAATCGATTACGCCCCAATCCATCAGTCAATCACTCAATCAATAACATCCCAATCCATCAATCAATCAATCAATAACATCCCAATCTATCAATCGATCGATCACCCCCAATCCATCAATCAGTCACACCCTAATCCTTCAATCACTCATCAATCAATCAATCAATCAATCAATCAATCAATCAATCAATCAATCAATCACACCCCAATCCATCCATCAATCACACCCCAATCCTTCAATCAATCAATCAATCATATTCCAATCCATCAGTCAATAACACCCCAATCAATCAATCAATCAATAACACCCCAATCCATCAATTAATCAGTCAATAACACCCCAATCCATCAATCAATCACATCCCAATCCATCCATCAATCACACCCCAATCAATCAATTAAACCCCAATCCCTCAATCAATCAATCAGTCAATAACATCCCAATCTATCAATTGATCGATCACCCCCAATCCATCAATCAGCTCAGTCAATAACACCCCAATCCTTCAATCAATCAATCAATAACTTCCCAATCCAACAATCAATCCCCAATCAATCAATCAACCACACCCCAATCCATCAATCGATTACGCCCCAATCCATCAGTCAATCACTCAATCAATAACATCCCAATCCATCAATCAATCAATCAATAACATCCCAATCTATCAATCACTCAATCAATAACATCCCAATCTATCAATCGATCGATCACCCCCAATCCATCAATCAGTCACACCCTAATCCTTCAATCACTCCTTAATCAATCAATCACACCACAATTAATCAGTAGCCATGCCCCACCCACAGAATAGCCCCTCCCTGCCCCGCCCAATCCCTAAGGCCACCCCCGGACTGTCCCCGTGTCCCCACCCCCCCTAAGGCTCAGGGACACCCCGGGTGACCCAGGAGTGTCCCCGTGCGGCCCTGGGCCACCCCAGCAGCTCCTGAGCCACCTGGGATGTCCCCAGGGACCACCCGGGCTGTCCCCAGGGACCACCCGGGATGTCCCCAAGGGCCACCCGGGATGTCCCCAGGCCACCCACGCTGTCCCCACGGGAGCCTGGCCCTGTCCCCAGAGGCCCCCCCGGGATGTCCCCACGTCCTGGCTCCACCCACGGTGTCCCCGTGGGCACCTGGAGCAGGGCCCAGCCAGGTGACCCCGGCGGGGGCCAGGTTCAGCCACGAGCTCCCCCAGATCCACCCGGAGGTCCCAGGTCCGTCCAGAACATTCCTGGACCCCGCACAAGGTCCATCCAAGCTCCCGGGTCCATCCCAGGACATCCCGGGTCCATCCAGGACGTGCCAGGGTCCCTCCAGGTGACCCCAGATCCATCCAGGAGCCCCTGGCACGCCCAAGGTCCGTCCTGGCGCTCCCGTGTCCCCCCGTGGGCGTCCCCACCGTGGCCGTGGCTCAGAGCTGGGGCTCGGCGGCCACCTCGGGGCCATCCTGGGTCACTGCCAATGTCCCCAGAGCTCCTCGGCCACCACCTCAGAGCCGCTCCTGGGTCACTGTCCGTGTCCCCACGAGCTTGGTGACCATCTCAGAGCTGCTCCTGGGTCGCTGCTCCCAGGTCACTGCGTCCATGGCTCGGAGCCGCAGCTCCGACGTGGCCGTGGCCGTGTCCCCAAGAGCCACGGCTCGGTGACCAACTCAGAGCCACTCCTGGGCCACCGTGTCCGTGTCCCCAAAGCTCGGTGACCATCTCAGAGCCACTCCAGGGTCACTGTCAATGTGCCCAGAGCTTGGTGGCCACCTCAAGCCATCCTGAGTCACCATGTCAGTGTCCCCAGAGCTCCGTGGCCCCCCTGGAGCTGCTCCTAGGTCACCGTGTCCGTGTCCCCAGAGCTCTGTGGTCACCTCAGAGCTGCTCCTGGGTCACCATGTCCATATCCCAGAGCTCCGTGGTCACCTCAGAGCCGCTCCTGGGGCACCGTGTCCATATCCTGGAGCTCCGTGGCCCCCTGGAGCCGCTCCTGGGGCACCATGTCCATATCCCGGAGCTCCATGGTCACCTCAGAGCCATCCTGGGGCACCGTGTCCATATCCCGGAGCTCCGTGGCCCCCCGGCGCTGCCCCGGTGCCCGCTGCGGTCGCGCCAGCCGGGAGCCGGGGGCGGGCGGCCGTGGCTCAGAGCTTGAGCTCGTTGGCCACCTTGGAGGCGATGTTCTTGAAGGCCATGGAGGTGCCGGCGATGCGCTTGAAGCGGACGCCGTTGAGCGAGAGCCGGGGCAGCTTGCACACCTCCATCTCCCACTGCACGAAGGAGTCGTGGCCGGGCGCGCCGTGGGCGCAGAGCAGCACGAAGCGCTCCTGGGGCTCGCAGCGGCAGCTGTTGGCGTCCAGCACCTTGCGGATCTCGCGCAGCATCTCCCCGGGCTCCAGCGAGCTCGTGGTCTTCATGCTCCACGTGAAGCGCAGCGAGCGCGGCTTGGCGTCGCGCCCGGCCTCGCGGGGGTCCTTCTCGGGGCCCACCGCCGGTCTGGGAGGGAAATTTGGGTTAGGGGGGTCTTTCTCGGGGGCCCATCATGAGTTTTGGGGGGAAAACACGGGGTTAGGGGGGTCCCGGGTGTCCTTCTTGGGGCCCACTGTGGGTCTGGGGTGGCACCACGGGGTCACCAAGGGCGGTTGGTTACTCCTGGGGTTGTCACAGGGACCCCAGGGGTGTTCCCACGGTGTCCCCAGGGTGTCAGAGGGACCCCAGCGTGTCCCCAGTGTGTCCCCAGGGTGTCCCCAGGTGTCCCCAGGTGTCCCCATTGTGCCCAGGCTGTCCCCACAGTGTCCCCACAGTGTCCCCAGGTGTCCCCAGGCTGTCCCCACGTGTCCCCAGGTGTCCCCAGGTGTCCCCAGGCTGTCCCCACGTGTCCCCAGGTGTCCCCAGGCTGTCCCCAGGTGTCCCCACAGTGTCCCCACGTGTCCCCACGGTGTCCCCACGCTGTCCCCATTGTCCCCAGGTGTCCCCCGCTCACCTGAGGGTCTCCACCCGCTCCTTGCTCTCGGGCTCGTGGGGGTTCCTCGGGAGACAAAAGGGGCCCAGCTCAGTCGGGGGGGGCTGGGGGGGCACAGCCCCTCCCCCAACCCCCCGAGGGGTCCCAGACAGCACGGGGGGGGCAGGGGGACACACAGACACACGGGGGGGACGAGGACAGACGGACGAGCGGGGGGGACAGGAAGGGATGGGAGGGGTCCCCAAGGGGAACAGGGGGGACATTGGGGGGGTCCCCAGTGGGACATTTGGGGACAGGAGGGGACGTGGGGGGGTCCCCAAGGGGACAGGAAGGGATGGGAGGGGTCCCCAAGGGGAACAGGGGGGACATTGGGGGGGTCCCCAGTGGGACATTTGGGGACAGGAGGGGACGTGGGGGGGTCCCCAAGGGGACAGGAGGGGTCACGGGGGTCCCTGAGGGGACAGTGGCAGGGACAGGAGGGGACAGGGGGGGGCCCCCAAGGGGACAGGAGGGGTCACGGGGGTCCCTGAGGGGACAGTGGCAGGGACAGGAGGGGACACAGAGGCAGGAGAACAGAGAAGCCCTGAGAACACCGAGGGGACACCCTGAGGGGACAGAGAAACACAGAAGGGATCTGGGGACAGGGGGACACCGAGCATCCCTGACAGGGGACAAACAGAGGGGACACAGAATCCCTGGAGCACCGAGGGACACCGAGGGACACCGAGGGGACAGGCCAGGACACACAGAGGAACAAACCAAGAGGGCACAGCGAGGGGACAGCGAGAGCCCAGAACACACCGGGGGGACACATCCAGGGGACACGGGGGGCGCAGGTGGCACCGGGGGGGCGCGGGTGACACCGGGGGGATGCAGGTGACACCGGGGGGACGCAGGTGACACCGGGGCAGGCCCGGGCGTGGCTCACCTGCGCACGAACTTGGAGGTGAACTTGCTGAAGAGGCTGGCCGAGGGCCCGCGCCGGCCCTGGCTGGCGCCCGAGGGCGAGGCGGGCGGGGGCAGCCCGGGGGGCAGCGCGTAGGGCAGGGGGTCCCGGGGGTCCCGGGGGGCGCGCAGCTGCCCGGCGTGGAAGGTGCTGCGGCTCGAGACCCCCCGGGGGAAGCTGGGCCGCTCGCCAGGGCCCTGACTGACGTTGTGGGCAGAGGGGGAGGCCGCCGGCACCCGGGGGGGAGCCCCGCTGCGGGGGGACAGGGGTTGGTCAGGGGGAACACGGGGTGGGGGACACCCCTGAGACCCCCCGGCAAACAGGGACACCCCTGAGACCCCCCCTGGCACCCGGGGGGGAGCCCCGCTGCGGGGGGACAGGGGTTGGTCAGGGGGGACACGGGGTGGGGGACACCCCTGAGACCCCCCTGGTGCCCAGGGACACCCCTAGACCCCCCTGGCACACAGGGACACCCCTGAGACCCCCATGGTGCCCAGGAACACCCCTAGACCCCTAAAGGGGGGACGTTGCTGCTCTTAGGGACACCCCTGAGTCCCCCCTGACACCCCTGAGAACCCCCTGGCACAGGGACACCCCCCTGCTGCCCTTGGGGACACCCCTGAGACCCCCAGTCCTCAGGGACCCCCCATGGAAGCTGGGGCGCTCCCCAGCCCCCACTGAGTGCAGGAATGGGGGACTGGGGGTGTTACCCACCCCTCATCTCCATCTGAGCACCCTCGGGACCCCCCCAGACCCCCCCATGGAAGCTGGGGCACTCCCCAGCCCCCCCTGAATGCAGGAATGGGGGGCTGGGGGCGTTCCCCCCCCCCATCTCCATCCCAGCACCCCAGACCCCCCCAGGGAAGCTCAGGGGGTGCCCCCCGTGGGCGGTGGGCTCGGGGGGCTCGGGGGGGGTCCCCACCTGTCCTTGCCGTTCTGCAGGGAGCTCTGGCCCAGGCTGGCCCGGTCCAGCAGCGGCGAGTTGCGGCTGCGCGTGGTGCCCGTGGACAGGACGCTGTTCTGTGGGGAGGGGGCACCGAGAGGGGGGCTGGGGGCGACACAGCTGTCCCCCGACCCCCAGCACGGCACCTGGGGACCCTCCACGGCCCCAGCAGTGACCCCAGCCCCACCCCGGGGGTCCCAGGGATGGCCACCCCCATCCCTACCCCAGCAGATGCTGACCCCAAATCCAGGGGTTCCAGGTGTTGGGGAGCCCCCTCCCCCAAATCCCAGGTGTTGGGGACCCCCCCTCCCCCAAATTCCAGATGTTGGGGACGCCCCCTCCCCCAAATCCAGGGGTTCAGGTGTTGGAGATGCCCCCTCCCCCAAATTCCAGGTGTTGGAGAGCCCCCTCCCCCAAATCCAGGGGTTCCAGGTGTTGGGGTCTCCCCTTCCCCCAAATCCAGGGGTTACAGGTGTTGGGGTCTCCCCTCCCCCCAAATCCAGGTGTTGGGGATCCCCCTCCCCCAAATGCCGGGTCTCCCCTCCCCCCGGAGCCCCCCGGCCTGCACTGACCGTGGAGGGGGAGGGGGTGCCCTTGGATCGCTCCAGGCCGGGCAGGGGGCTGGGGGGCACCTTGGCCGTGCTGCCGGCCCGGCGCCCCCCGCCGCCGCCGCCCTCTTCCTCCCCGGCTCCTCCTCCTCCTCCTCCTCCTGGTGCCGCTCCTCCTCCCCGCTTGTTCTCCGCGTTGGCCGCCTGCGTTTTCTTGGAGTACGAGGCCGAGGTGGGGATGGAGAGCCCGGCTGGGGCGGGAGGGGCTGTCAGGGCTGGGGGTCGCACGGGACCCCCCCCTCCTCACCGGGGGGTCCAGGTCACACAGCACAGCCCCCAAGCCCCCCCGGGAGGGTCCTGGGGGTGCACCCACCCACACCCACAGCTCCGGTCCCCCCGTGTCACCTCTGGGGTGTCCCCTGTCCCCCTGTGGGGTCTCACCCTGGTCGCTGACCCCCCTGTCCCCATTTGGGGTCCCCTGTGGGGTCTCACCCTGGTCGCTGACCCCCCGTGTCCCCCCAGGGATGTCCCCCTGTCCCCCCAGGGATGTCCCCCGTGTCTCACCCAGGTCGCTGACCCCCCTGTCCCCATGTGGGGTCCCCTGTGGGGTCTCACCCTGGTCGCTGACGCGCCGTTTGGGGTTGGCCGAGACGCTGCGCTGCACCTTGTGTGCGGGGGAGGGGCCCGAGCTGTTGGCCACCTCCGGGGCCACCCGCGGCTTCAGGGACAGGCTCTCCTCCAGCTGGGGACAGGGGACACGTGGGGACACGGCGGGACACGGGGACACCCGCCGGGCAGGGACAGGGACAGGGACAGGGACAGGGACAGGGACAGGGACAGGGACAGGGACAGGGACAGGGACAGGGACCCGCTGGCACTGGCACAGCTGGGGACAGGGACGTGCCACCATGGCACAGCTGGGGACAGGGACACGCTGGCACGGGCACAGCTGGGGACAGGGACAGGACAGCGTGGGGACAGGGCATGGCGGGGCAGACGGCGTGCCCTGTGTCCCACCCCATCCTCTCCGTGTCCCCTCCTCTCCGTGTCCCCGTGTCCCACCCCATTCTCTCGGTGTCCCCGTGTCCCACCCCATCCTCTCTGTCCCCAGTGTCCCACCCCACCCTCTCGGTGCCCCCTGTCCCCTCTCGTGTCCCTCCTTGTCCCCACGTCCCCTCAGTCCCTCCGTGCTCCCGTGTCCCCGCGTCACCTCGGTGTCCCCATGTCCCCTCACATCTCAATGATCCCGCAGCACCACAATGTGTCCCTGTCACCGTGTCCCCTCCTGTTCCTGCCCCCTCTTCATCCCAATGACCCTCCCAGTGCCACCTTGTCACCTGTCCCTCCCCGTGTCCCCCCAGTGTCCCCATGTCCCCTCTTTGTCTGCATGTTATCAATGTCCCCTCGTGCCCCCAACACTCCTCGCTGACCCCCCTGTCCCCATTTGGGGTCCCCCGTGGGGTCTCACCCTGGTCGCTGACGCGCCGTTTGGGGTTGGCCGAGACGCTGCGCTGCACCTTGTGTGCGGGGGAGGGGCCCGAGCTGTTGGCCACCTCCGGGGCCACCCGCGGCTTCAGGGACAGGCTCTCCTCCAGCTGGGGACAGGGGACACGTGGGGACACGGCGGGACACGGGGACACCCGCCGGGCAGGGACAGGGACAGGGACAGGGACAGGGACCCGCTGGCACTGGCACAGCTGGGGACAGGGACGTGCCACCATGGCACAGCTGGGGACAGGGACACGCTGGCACGGGCACAGCTGGGGACAGGGACAGGACAGCGTGGGGACAGGGCATGGCGGGGCAGACGGCGTGCCCTGTGTCCCACCCCATCCTCTCCGTGTCCCCTCCTCTCCGTGTCCCCGTGTCCCACCCCATTCTCTCGGTGTCCCCGTGTCCCACCCCATCCTCTCTGTCCCCAGTGTCCCACCCCACCCTCTCGGTGCCCCCTGTCCCCTCTCGTGTCCCTCCTTGTCCCCACATCCCCTCAGTCCCTCCGTGCTCCCGTGTCCCCGTGTCACCTCGGTGTCCCCATGTCCCCTCACATCTCAATGATCCCGCAGCACCACAACGTGTCCCTGTCACCGTGTCCCCTCCTGTTCCTGCCCCCTCTTCATCCCAATGACCCTCCCAGTGCCACCTTGTCACCTGTCCCTCCCCGTGTCCCCCCAGTGTCCCCATGTCCCCTCTTTGTCTGCATGTTATCAATGTCCCCTCGTGCCCCCAACACTCCCTCCCCTCCCTGTCCCCACAGTGTCCCTGCTGACCCCCAGTGTCCCCAATGTGTCCCTGCTGACCCCGCGGTGTCCCCCACAGTGTCCCTGCTGACCCCCAGTGTCCCCAATGTGTCCCCGGTGTCCCTGCTGTCCCCAATGTCCCTGCTGACCCCCTGGTGTCCCTGCTGAGCCCCCGTGTCCCTGCTGACTCCCAGTGTACCCACAGTGTCCCCAATGTGTCCCTGATGTCCCCACAGTGTCCCCGGTGTCCCTGCTGACCCCCCGTGTCCCCCAGTATCTCTGCTGATCCCCTGGTGTCCCTGCTGACCCCACAGTGTCCCTGCTGACCCCACAGTGTCCCTGCTGTCCCCACTGTGTCCCTGCTGTCCCCAATGTGTCCCTGTGTCCCTGCTGTCCCCAATGTGTCCCTGTGTCCCTGCTGTCCCCCGTGTCCCCGTGTCCCCACCTCGGAGCTCTTGTGGTCCAGCAGCAGGTAGGTGGCCATCACCTCGTTGTACTTCTGCCCCACCAGCGACTCCTGGATCTCCTCCCGCGTGTAGCCCATGGACACCATCAGCTCTGGGGGGACACGGCCCTCAGCAGGGGACACTCGGGGGGGTCCCCGTGTCCCCAGGGGTGCCCTGGGGTCCCACCTGTCCTGCGGGGGTCCTTGTAGTCAGGCACGGGCTCCATGTAGGGCTTGAGCTCGTCGTCCTCGTGGCCCACGTTCATCCAGCGGTCCTTCATGATTTGCTGGGGGGCACAGGGGGCCGGGGTCACCCCTGGGGACACTTGGGGGACAGGAGAGGACCCCAGGGCTCCTCGGCGTGGTGCTGGGGGGCACGGGGGGACGCCAGGGAGGGTCCCCAGGAGGTCCTGGGGTGCTCAGGGGGGTCTCAGAGGTTCCCAGAACCACACCGGGGGTCCCAGGATGAAGTTGGGGAGTCCCCAGAAGGTCCTGGGGTGCTATTTGGGGGTTCCAGGCTCATTCTGGGGGTCCCAGGATGAAATTGAGGGTCCCTAGAAGGTCCTGGGGGGCCATTGGGGGTTCCAGGCTCATTCTGGGGGTCCCAGGATGAAATTGAGGGTCCCTAGAAGGTCCTGGGGGGCCATTGGGGGTTCCAGGCTCATTCTGGGGGTCCCAGGATGAAATTGAGGGTCCCTAGAAGGTCCTGGGGGGCCATTGGGGGTTCCAGGCTCATTCTGGGGGTCCCAGGATGAAATTGAGGGTCCCTAGAAGGTCCTGGGGGGCCATTGGGGGTTCCAGGCTCATTCTGGGGGTCCCAGGATGAAATTGAGGGTCCCTAGAAGGTCCTGGGGGGCCAGGTGGGCACCCAAAAACACCCGTGGGACCCCAAAAACACCACAAAACTACCCAAGAGACCCCAAAAACACTCATGGGACCCTAAAAACACCCAAGAGACCCCAAAACCACCCATGATGACCCCAAAACCACCCATGGCAAAACCCCAAACCACCTGGGGCGCCCCCAAACCACCCATGGCGACTCCAGAATCACCCATGGGCACCCCAAAATCACCCATGATGATCCCAAAACCACCCATGGCGACCCCAAACCACCCATGAGGACCCCAAACCACCCATGGCAACCTCAAACCACCCATGGCAACCTCAAAACCACCCATGATGACCCCAAAAACACCCCTGGGCACCCAAAACCACCCATGATGACCCCAAAACCACCCATGGCAACCCCAAAACCACCCACGATGACCCCAAAACCAACCACGATGACCCCAAACCACCCATGATGACCCCAAATGACCCATGATGGCCCCAAATCACCCATGGCGACCCCAAAACCACCCATGGACACCCCAAAAACACCAGTGGGACCCCAAACCACACATGGGCACCCCAAAACCATCCATAGAAACCCCAAACCATCCATGATGACGCTCACCTTGAGGTTGTGGCCGTCGAAGGGCAGCGAGCCGCTGACCAGCGTGTAGAGGATGACCCCCAGGCTCCAGACGTCCACCTCGGGCCCGTCGTACTTCTTGCCCTGGAAGAGCTCGGGCGCGGCGTAGGGCGGCGAGCCGCAGAACGTGTCCAGCTTGTTGCCGAAGGTGAACTCGTTGCTGAAGCCGAAATCGGCGATTTTGATGTTCATGTCGGCGTCCAGCAGCAGGTTCTCGGCCTGGCCCGGGCAGGGAGAGCGCCCCCGGGGGGGTTAGTGGGGTCTGGGGGGGTTTGNTGTAGGGGTGTTTGGGGGTGGGTCTGGGGGTCCCAGCACCTCCCCAGGGGTCCTGGAGGGTCCTGGAACCCACCCGGGAGGCTCAGAGATGTTGGGAATTCTGTCCTGGGTGTCCCAGGGGTGTCTGAGTGCCACTCTGGGAGTCCCAGGGGTGTCTGGGTGTCGTTCTGGGGGTCCCAGGGGTGTCTGGGTGTCATTCTGGGGGTCCCAGGGGTGTCTGGGTGTTGTTCTGGGGGTCACAGGGGTGTCAGGGGGTCCCAGGGGTGTCTGGGTGCTGCTCTGGGGGTCCCAGGGATGTCAGGGAGTCCCACAGGTGCCTCTCTGGGGGTCCCAGGGGGTCCCAGGAGTGTCCGGGTGACACTCTGGGGGTCCCAGGGGTGCCAGGGGTCCCAGCGGGGGTTCCTCACCTTCAGGTCCCTGTGCACAATGAACTTCTGGTGGCAGTACTGCACGGCCGACACTATCTGCAGGACAGGGGGGTGTCAGGGGGGGCTCAGCCCCCCAGCTGGGGGGCACAGGGACACCCCCAGCCCCCTTGGGGACACGGTGGGGGGGTCCCCAACCCTTTTGGGGGTGCTCCAGCAGCATCACCCCCCCCAGACCTGTCGGAACTTCGCCCGGGCCTCCTTCTCCTTCATGCGCCCGTGGGCCACCAGGTAATCGAACACCTCACCTGGGGGGCACAGGGTGGGGGGTGAGGGGCAGCCCCCAGCCCTGGGACGCCCCCAAACCCCCCAGGGCCCCCCAAACCCCCACTCACCCCCGCTGGCGTACTCCATGACCAGGTAAAGCGTCTTCTCCGTCTCAATCACCTCGAAGAGCTTCACTGCAAGGGGGTGAGGGGGGGTTGGAGGGGTGGGGGACACCCCTGGGACCCCCCAAGGGTGGGGGACACCCCCGGGGAGGGGTGGGGGTGCAGCTGAGGGGGGTTTTGGGGGGGCTCACCTATGTTGGGGTGGTTCAGGACCTTCATTATTCGCACTTCCCGGAAGAGCTGTGAGGGACAGGGGAGGGGGGGATTGTGGGGGTGTCAGAGGAACGACCCCCGAAATCACCCCCAAATGTTGTCACCCCAAAATCAGCTGTCACCCCCCCAGGGACAGCCCTCACCTTCTGCAGGCTGGAGGAGTTGAGCTGCGTCTTGTCAATGATTTTCACGGCCACCTGCCGGGGGGAGAGCGGGGTCAGAGGGTCCCCAGGAATGTCCCCAAAACCTGGTGGCACCCCTGAGGGGAGGGGCAGGGGGACACGGCTGTCCCCACACCGTGGTGGCACTCCCAGAGTGAGAGAGACATCCTCAGGGCTGTCGCCACACCGTGGTGGCACTCCCAGAGTGAGAGGGACATCCTCAGGGCTGTCCCCACACCGTGGTGGCACTCCTCAAGTGACAGGAAAGGTGACAGGACCATCCCAGGGCTGTCCCCACACTGTGGTGGCACTCAAAGGGAAGGGGACAGGACCATCCCAGGGCTGTCCCCACACCGTGGTGGCACTCCTCAAGTGACAGGAAAGGTGACAGGACCATCCCAGGGCTGTCCCCACACTGTGGTGGCACTCCCAGGGTGACAGGAAAGGTGACAGGACCATCCCAGGGCTGTCCCCACACCGTGGTGGCACTCATAGAGTGACAGGAAAGGTGACAGGACCATCCCAGGGCTGTCCCCACATCATGGTGGCACTCATGGGATGAGGAGTGACACCGTGGGACCATCCCTGTGCCGTGGTGGCACTCCCAGGGTGACAGGAAAGGTGACAGGACCATCCCAGGGCTGTCCCCACACTGTGGTGGCACTCCTCAAGTGACAGGACCATCCCAGGGCTGTCCCCACACCATGGTGGCACTCATGGGATGAGGACTGACACCTTGGGACCATCCCTGTGCCGTGGTGGCACTCCCAGGGCACGGATCAGGACCCAGAAGTGTCCCCAAGCCACGGTGGCACCCACAGGACAAGGACCAGGACCCAGAACTGTCCCCACACCACGGTGACAGTCACAGCTGAGGAGCAGGAAACTCATTCCCGTGCCAGGTGGCACTCCCAGGGCAGGGACCAGAAGCCACAGCTGTCCCCACACCACGGTGCCACCCATGGGACGAGGACAACCGGCCTGTCCCCGTGGTGACACCCACAGGACCTGCAGCAGGAGCCCAGACCTGTCCCCACGCTGTGGTGGCACTCACGGCTGGGGACAGGCAGCCCATCCCTGGGCCATGGTGGCATTCCCAGGACACAAAGCTGTCCCTGCAGCACGGCCCCACACCACGGTGACAGTCACAGCTGAGGAGCAGGAAACTCATTCCCGTGCCAGGTGGCACTCCCAGGGCAGGGACCAGAAGCCACAGCTGTCCCCACACCACGGTGCCACCCATGGGACGAGGACAACCGGCCTGTCCCCGTGGTGACACCCACAGGACCTGCAGCAGGAGCCCAGACCTGTCCCCACGCTGTGGTGGCACTCACGGCTGGGGACAGGCAGCCCATCCCTGGGCCGTGGTGGCACTCCCAGGACAGGGACCAGGACACAAAGCTGTCCCTGCAGCACGATGGCACTGCGAGAACAGGGACTGTCCCTGCACTGTGGTGGCACTTCCGGGGCAAGCACCAGGACCCAGAACTGTCCCTGCACTGCGGTGACAACCACAGGATGCAGCCTGTCCCCGTGCCACGGTGACAACCACAGGACACAGCCTGTCCCCGTGTCATGGTGTCACCTACAGGACCCAGAACTGTCCCTGTGCCACGGCGTCACCCACGGGCTGATCCCATCCCCACACCACGGTGTCACCCCCAGGCTGATCCTGTCCCCTCAGCGTCACCTCCAGGCTGATCCTGTCCCTGCAGTGTCACCCCCAGGCTGATCCCATCCCCACGGTGTCACCCCCAGGCTGATCCTGTCCCCTCAGTGTCACCCCCAGGCTGATCCTGTCCCCTCAGTGTCACCCCCAGGCTGATCCCATCCCCGCGGTGTCACCCACGGGCTGATCCCATCCCCACGGTGTCATCCCCGGGCTGATCGTGTCCCCTCAGTGTCACCTCCAGGCTGATCCCATCCCCACAGTGTCTCCCCCAGGCTGATCCCGTCCCCGCGGTGTCACCTCCAGGCTGATCCTGTCCCCACGGTGTCACCCCCGGCCTGACCCTGTCCCCGCGGTGTCACCCCCAGGCTGACCCTGTCCCCGCAGTGTCCCCCGCGGCCCGGGCCCCCCCGAGCGCTGTCCCCTCGCCAGGAAGGTGCCACTCACCTCCTTGCCGGTCAGGACGTGCCGGGCCAGCTTGACCTTGGCGAAGTTGCCCTTGCCGATGGTGCGCAGCAGCCGGTAGTTGCCCACGTGGGGAGGGGGCTCCTCGGGACCCCCGCCCAGCGAGCCGCGGCCCCGGGGGGCGCCGGCCCCGCGGCCCCCCGCCCACCCCCCGGCCTTGTCGGGGCGTGTCACCCCCGGGCTGATCCCGTCCCCACGGTGTCACCCCCGGGCTGATCCCATCCCCACGGTGTCATCCCCGGGCTGATCCTGTCCCCGCAGTGTCCCCCGCGGCCCGGGCCCCCCCGAGCGCTGTCCCCTCGCCAGGAAGGTGCCACTCACCTCCTTGCCGGTCAGGACGTGCCGGGCCAGCTTGACCTTGGCGAAGTTGCCCTTGCCGATGGTTTTGAGCAGCCGGTAGTTGCCGATGTGGGGCTGCTCCTCGGCGGCCGTGCCGGCGTTGCGGCCCCGCAGCATGCTGGCCTTGCCACCGCCCTTGCCCTCCACGGCGCCCGGCTGCGGGGACAGCGAGGGCACGCTCAGCCGGGCCCGGCCGCGTCCCCGCGGGGATCCCGGCGGGCTCCGGGAGGAGCCGGGAGCGAAGTCCGGAGCGGCGGGGCCGCGCCCGGCCCGGCCGGGAGCCGCCCCCGATACCTGACGCAAGCGCCGCGGTTTCGGGCTGGGCCGCGAGGGTGGGAAGGGGACAGCGCCGTGTCACCCCCTCCCCAGGAGGGGACACGGCCACCCCGCCCCGCTCCCCTGCGGAAGATTCAGTGTCCAAACACCCCGGTTTCACCCCAAACCCAACCACCCGGACAGAGTTCACGCCCCAGCCCAAAGGGGGGAGCCCCCCGGCACAACATCGGGGCACAAAGCCCCTCTTGCCGCACCCCAAAAGCCGCCGCGGGGGCCCCCCGAAGGTCACCCGGGCCGCGGGGACACTTTCGGGGTGTTCCCTTACGGGGAGTGAGACGCCCCCGGGGCTGTCACCGCTCCGGTGACACCGGAGATAACGGGAGCGCGTGAGCGGGCGGGGAAGCCGAGCCAACCCCTCCCACGTGGGATGTGGGGCCCCCCAAAACCTCGCCGGGTTTGTTTTTGTGGGGGCACACCTCGGGTGCCCCCCTCCCCCTCCGTGGGAAGGAAACCGCTGGCGGAAGCCGTGGGGGAGGTGCCGGCGATGGCGCAACCGAACCCCAGTTTTGGGGGGAGAACGCGCAGGTTTGGGGCCCGGGGGGGACCGGAGCTTCCCCCTCCCCCAAAGCCCAGCGCGGTGCTGTGGGAAAAAGTGAAGGGAAACGGGAGTTTCTGCCAAAAAACTGCCGTGGCAACGGGGCGGGAGCGTGCGGAGCCATCTGGCCGCGCTGCCGGGATTCGCTCGGGCGCTGAGGCGGCACCGACACCGGAGCCCCCCCGGGCGGGGCCGCGGCACCAGAACCCCCCGAACCCCCCCGGGGCTCGGTGGCGGCGCTCCCGGCATTTCCCGGCTCCTCTTATCGCCGAGTGGGCAAAACCACGGCAAACATGGCAAAGGAGGCACCGCCCGGGCCGGGTCACACCGGGGGCACCTCACCGGCACCGGGGGGGCCGCACCGGGGGAGCGCACCGGGCACGGCCGCGGGAAGGCCGCGGCGCTCCCCGCTGGCTCGGTAACGCCGCTCGGGCCGCGCAGCCCCTCGTGCCTCAGTTTCCCCAGCCCGCCCGCCACGAGGGGACTCACCCTGGGCACCCCGAAGCGCCGGGAGCGGCGGGAGCGGGGCGGCGCCGGCGGGAGCCCCGCGGGACGCCGGGAGGGAGCGAGCGGGGACCGGCTCGACCGGTCGGGGCTGAGGCCGCAGCGGGACAGCGCGGGGTGGGGCCGGGAACACCTGGAGCGCCGGGGCGGGGAGAACGGGCCGGGAAAGGGGAGAAGCGGGGCGGGGGGGCCCGTCCTGCCGGGGGCAGGGGCACGGGGCTGCGAACGGCCGCTGGAACTGACAGACACTGGAATTGCCATGGGAATTGACACTGGAACAGGCACTGGAACAGGCACTGGAATTGTCATTGCAATGGCCGCTGGAACTGACGCTGGAATTGTCATTCGAATTGTCACTGGAACTGTCATTGGAATTGTCACTGGAATGGGATCTGAAATTGTCACTGGCCGGTCGGGGCTGAGGCCGCAGCGGGACAGCGCGGGGTGGGGCCGGGAACACCTGGAGCGCCGGGGCGGGGAGAACGGGCCGGGAAAGGGGAAAAGCGGGGCGGGGGGGCCCGTCCTGCCGGGGGCAGGGGCACGGGGCTGCGAACGGCCGCTGGAACTGACAGACACTGGAATTGCCATGGGAATTGGCACTGGAACTGTCACTGGAATTGTCACTGGAATGGGAACTGAAATTGTCACTGGAATGGGCACCGGAATTGCCATCGGAATGGCTGCTGGAAATGACATAGGAATTGTCACTGGAACTATCACTAAAATTACCATTGGAATTGCCTTTGGAATGGCCGCTGGATTTGACACTGGAATCGTCACTGGAATAGGCACTGGAATTGCCATTGGAATTGTCACTGGAATGGCCACTTGAATTGATACTGGAATTGTCACTGGAATGGGCACTGGAATTGTCATTGGAATTGACACTGGATTTGACATTGGAATTGTCACCGCAATTGTCACTGGAATAGACACTGGAATTGTCACTGAAATGGGCACTGGAATTGCCATCGCAATGGCTGCTGGAACTGACATAGGAATTGTCACTACAACTGTCGTTGGAATTATCATTGGAATTGCCTTTGGAATGGCCGCTGGATTTGACACTGGAATCGTCACTAGATTTGACATTGGAATGGCTGGTTGAATTAACATTAGAATTGTCACTGGAATGGCCACTGGAATTGCCATTGCAATTGCCACTGAATTTACTACTGGAAATGCCATTGGAATTGTCACTGGATTTGACATTAGAATTGTCACTAGAATTGCAATTGGAACGGCCGCTGGAATAGTGGCAGCAGTGCCAGTGCTCAGGCTGCAGGGATGTCACCAGGTACGGTGTGATGTCACCAGCCCAGCAGCGATGTCACCAGGCAGGTGTGATGTCACCAGCCCAGCAGCGATGTCCCTACCCCAGCAGTGATGTCCCCAGCCCAGCAGCGATGTCCCCAGCCCAGCAGCGATGTCACCAGGCAGGTGTGATGTCACCAGCCCAGCAGCGATGTCCCCAGCCCAGCAGCCATGTCACCAGCCCAGCAGTGATGTCCCCAGCCCAGCAGCGATGTCACCAGGCAGGTGTGAGGATCCCCGTGCCGGGGGTGTCGATGCCACCGGCACCCGCCCACGCTGCCAGCACCGAACTGGTGCCGGCTGGTGGCAGTGGGAGCAGTCCCAGTGTCCCCAGGTGGGGTGTGACAGGGACCCCCGGGCACGGCGTGGCGGTGCCAGCCGGGGAGGCAGCGCTGGTTCGTGCGGCGCCGCTCAAATGTCAGCCAAATTTAGGTATTTTTGAAGATTTTTTTTTTATCTCCAACCCCACCAGATCGGGCTCCATGTGAGGGAGGGATTGGGGGCTGGGGGGGGCAGGGAAAGACCCCCCGATTTCAGCTGCTGGGGCTGGGGGGGAGGCGCAGCCCCCCCCACACGGTGCTGCCGCCCCCTCCCCAAATCTTCCCAGCCAGGAATAATTTTCCTCTGGCGTTACATAACAGCGGATAAATACGAGGAAAAGCACCCAAAACGAGGAGGGGGGGCCCGATGCCACGGCCACGGCACAGGTGGCACTGCCTCGTCCTCGGGCTTGGGGACGTTGACACGAGGTCACCTGTGCCCCCACGCGCCCTGCTGGGGTCACTCCCCAGCACTCGGGGGGCTCCCCGGTCACAGAACGGGGGAAGCTCCCCAAAACATCACCCAAAACGGGGGTGTCACACAGCTGGGGGAGCCGAGCAGCCCCCCAGGTGCTCCCCAAAAGGGCTGAGCCAGCAGCGGGGTCTCCCAGCAGCCACCAAAGCTGGGGGCAGAGAGCGACCCCGAGAGCCCCCCAAATCCACCCCCAAATCGGGGAACCCCCCATCCCAGCTGCCCCCAAAGGAAACCCCCCCTCACACCCTCAGACACACGGGGAGCGAGCTCCCCACTCCCCACCGCGGGGAGGGGGCTGGTCCCTGCTTGCAGGGGTCAGAAGGGGAGGAATTTGGGGGGGCTCGCCCCTCAGAGCCCCCCCAGAGCCCGGGGAGGCGCCGAGCCCGTGGCAGCGCTGCCGCCGCCCCCACAGCCCCCCCTGCTTGGGGGGGCCGCAGCAGGGAAGGGGGTGGGGGAGGGCTGACGCCCCCACAGCCCGATCGTGCAGCCACCGAGCTGGGGGGGGGGGACAATGACACCCCAAACTTGCCCCCCGCAGCGCACCCCAGAGCCTGGGGGGCTCCACGTGGGGGTCTGCCCCCCCCACCCCCGCCTGCCCCCTCACTTTGGGGTGCAAGGCTTGACCCCCTCACCTAAAATTTGGGGTTCTGCACGCAAACCGCCACTGCTGCCCCGCGGGGAACCCCGAAATGGGACCCCAGAATTTGGGGAGGGGCTCATCCCAGAGCACTCTCCCTACACCAAATCCGGCCCTGAAGGGGGGCACAGCTCGGGACCCCCCACCCCACAGGGGGCTCTGGGATGTGGGAGACCCCGGGCTCCTTCGTGGGGGTGGAAAAGAGGAACTGGGGGACCTTCAGACCCCCCCTTTTCCACCTCACAGAGGGGCCCCGAGGCCCCTCAGAGCCCCCTCCTCACTCACAGAACAATCCCAGACCCCTTCACCCCTCTTTTCCCTTCATAAAGATCCAGATCCCCCCAAATTCCCTCCTTTCTCCACATAAAATACCCCAGGATCCCCTTTTTCACACCCAAAAATGTCCCCAGACCCCCTCACACTCCTGTATTTTCCCTCTCAGATCCCCTTTTTTGCTCAAAAACCCAGCCAGGTTCCCATCAAACGCTCTTTTTACCTCACAAAATCTCCCAAATCCCTGTCAGGCCTCACTTCCCCCTCACAAACAGACCCCAGACCCTTTTTGCTGTTCACAGAGCGGCCCAGGACCCCCTTTTTCTGTCACAAACCGGGCACGGACCCGCCTGGCTCCCCTCAGAGAACACCCCAGACCCCCTCAGCCGCCTTTCCCTCTCGGATCCCCCTCAAAAACCAGCCCAGGTCCCCCTCAAAACACCATTTTTACCTCACAAAATTTCTCAGGCCCCTCTAAGAGCCCTTTTCCCCTCACACAAACCCACTCAGTTCCCATTTTTTTTTCCACATGGACGGGACCAGAACTCCCCCAAATCCTCCTTTTCACCCTCTCAGATCCCCCCTTTCCCCTCACGAATCGGTCCCCGAACCCCTCCAAGCCCCTTTTCCCCCTCACAAACCGACCCCGAACTCCTTTTTCCCCTCACAAACCGGCTCACGATCCCCTCAAGCTCCCTTTTCCTCCCTCAGATCCCCTTTTCCCCCTCATAAAAATCCCCCAGGCTCCCTCAGTCCCCTCTTCCCCTCACAAAATTCCCTTTTTCGCCCCGCCAGCCGCCCCTCTCCCCTCGCTCCGGAGCCGGCTCCCCCTCCATCCGCCCCCGGTCCCCGCCGTCCCTCGCTCACCTGCTCCGCGTCCCTCTCGTTGACGGTCGGCAAAGGGCTGCGACCGCTGCTCGACATGGCGGCCCCCCCCCCGCGCCGCCGGCGACTATCGCGATAGGGGGAAGCCGCGGCAGGCGGTGTGCGGGGAGGGGGAAGGGGAAGCGGGGGAGCTCAGGGCCCGGGGGGGGGCCAGGCCAG